TGTTGCTAATCTTTTTCATAAATCATCTCACCATTATGATCTGACCTTACCACTTCAAAGACCCAATTTTCTTGGAAACTTCCAACTGCAAGGAGGAGTTGGTGGTACCAAAGGGAACGTGGTGCTGAAAGCTGAGAAATGAGAAGTTGGGAAGGAAGAGGGAGTCATTGATCCATCTGTTTAGAATTGTGGTGGTACTGCAGGATTGTGCGCTGCTTTATTTCAGTCTTACTGTGAAACATAGCCACAGGTTTGTTTTTGTTTGTTTGCTTAGATTTCCTTCCATTCAAAATGGTTGTGTCAGTGATTTCACTTCTAAGAAATCTGAAAGCAAATATGAAAACAAAGCAAAAAGCAGCAAGTCCCCATGTAAGAACTCAGGAAGAAGTAGTGGAGAAATCAGACAGAATTCAAAATATTGTTGCTCTCTAAACAACAAATCAAGTGGAAATGAAAATAAATTGAATAAATACACATTTGTTTGTTTGCGGATTACATTTCCATGAGAGCAGTGAAAGCCCACAGAGCCCTGCAGTTCAACAATAAAACATCAGCTTGGCACAGAATGAGAAAACGCTGTTTTATCATTTTCTGGAAAGAGATGAAAGTTCTGTTTTAAAAATATTAATTTGTTAAACTTGCTGCATCTGCTTCAGAATTTGTTCATTTGCTTGTTCACTCCCCCATGCCTACTGAGAGTATCTGTCTTTCTGTTGTCAGTTATGACAGTCCAACTTAGTGATTGGACTTAGCTACAAAATGAATTAAATCAATAATCAACTGATCTGCTGTTAAATAGCACGTGATGATCTTCTGCTCAGCTATTTTTATGTTTTTACAGACTCTGTTATTCACAGAGTACTAGCTATTAACCATAAAACTGTCCTCTGCTATCAGACTTCATATGTGGCAAATTGTTAACAATTTTGATTGAAAAAAAAAAAGATTATTGCTTATTTTTAATATTTTTAACAAATTTTTCTTCAGTTTACTTTAAAAAAGGGCTTTCTTGCTCATCCATTTTGACATTACTCTTTCTGAAGTCTGTTTAAAATGGTTAAAGTTCTAAAGAATGCTTAATTTCTTTTTTAAATAAAGAGGAAATGCTTATTCCATATGTATAATGTGCGCAGGAGTCCTACAGAAGCTCATAGTATGTTTGTAAAGTTTATGCACCTCCACCTTCACAAATCTCATTTATGCAGGTACAAATCACCATTGCTTGATCACCAAATTGGGATCGGATCTGGGAGAAGCTGCTTATGTCTTCAGCTCTGTATTTGTTGCAATTCAACTCAAGTCTTAAGGCTGTATCAGTGTGAATTGTTTATAGTGAATTGTTTCCTGTTTCCCTTTTGTTTTTAATGCAATTACAGCCTTGATCAGTTGTAAACGTGAAAGGAAAATGAAAAATGAATAATTCAGTATTCAAGTATATAAACACTATGTTTTAAATAGCCTCCGTAGAAAACCAATGTCAGGATAGAGGGGATGAGTTTAGAACTTTATGCTTAGCTCTCAAATATCTCATGTGAAAGCAGCAGTGCGAATCCCACCCAGGTGGGGATGTGTTAGCGGGCTGACTAGGAACAGGCTGCAAGCGTCCAAGTGCTTTCCTCAGGAAATGCCTCAGTAGAGACATGTACTTTTCTCATCCTATTCTCTCCGCTGCCTTTAATGAACCTTTGACTGACCACGGGAAAGCTCGGCCTCCCAAGGCTCTCGTGTTTGTACCTGCTGTAACTCCTGATCACTGGGTGCTCTTGCAGCAGGGAGGACCAAAGAAAGCTTGGGGAAGCAGCTAAGCAGCACAGACTGCTGTAGGACCCCATGTTTATGTGGGAAACCTGGGAAGTAATGGAAATTGCATGTTTTCAGTGGCTTTGTTTCACAGGTAGCTAGAATCTTCATTCAGAACCAGCTTGCTTTTGATTCTTTTCTTTTTTATCCCTTTCCTCCTCTTGCCCTTCCCTCCAGCAGTTCAGTTTTGGTTTTGGTTTTATTTTTTTTTTACTAAGGGTCAAATTACTCTGGTTATAAATATGGTTATAAATATTTGGGTTTTTAATGATGCTGATGCTTCTGTCCCATGTAACTGCTGAAGCAATGTCACAGTGCAGAAAACTATTTTATTCTCAAATTTTTCATTATTCTCATGTCACTGAGGATGTAGATGGCAGTGAAGGATCTTGAGACCATGTCCATTGGGTCAAGAACAGAGCTGCAGGTTATCTGCCTTTCTCATTGACATCAAAGACTTTTATTGAAGTTCTTTCTTTCCACTTTTGTTTATTTTTTTTTTCATTCCCAGGCCAAACAGATAAGTCTCAAACTCTCAAACTGAGCAAAGATAAGGGGGGTTAGTCCTAGAGTGGCAGCTGCAGCCTCTAGATTTGTCTCAAGTCAATAAGTTGTAAGGAATAAAACAACAGTGGGAGACCTTGGCTTTGGAGGCTACAGACCTCTGGAGGTCCAGACCAAGTTATAGGTATGGACTTCATCATCACAATGATGATAATAATATCATATTCATATTATGAATAAAAGTATAACAATTTCACAGAACAAAGTTGCAGCTTCATTTTCCTGACAGATCTACCTATTTGTACTGTTTTTATAGTAGCTGTCTTTCAATAACTCACCCTTTTCCTGGGACATGATCTGACATTTACTTAATATGCTGTCACATTAGATATGCTGAGGCCAATCTATTAATTGATCCATCTCAGTGTCTTCCCTCTGGCACCAATCCGTTCATAATACATCAGAAACAGATAAAACTGATCCAAACAAAAGTCAAGACTGAGTTATATCACAGCCATGTAAGAACTTTTATTGGCTAGAGTTTCAGGTTTTTACTTTCCCTTTAACTAGCTTTATCTAGTAGCTCTGTTCTACATCCTTTATCAAGATATGCAATGTAGGTTGTGACATATGGTAGACTTAACAAATAATTTAAATCACACATGGCATTCTTCTACAGCAAATACAAGTTCAAGTGATATTAGTTGAACTCTGAATGAGTCAGAGAATGCTAAGGATATTCATAAGTGTTGGTCCTTTTTGTGTCTCACAGATGACAACTAGTGTTAAAGAAATACTGTGACTAAACAATAGAAGGTGAGAAGAGTCGATGGTGATTGCCCTGGACTATTCCTGCTTGGGAGTCAGGGCTCTATCGTGCTACACAAGCAGGTCAAAATCTTGGTCTCTTTCTTGCAGGATTCATTTGTAGGTTTTATATCAAAATCTAACTTTGAGCCTATTCTTTGTGGAGCTTAATTTAGGGCTTCTTTGAAAGGGATCTGCAAAAAAGCAAGCAAGCAAGTTTGTTACCAATAAAAGTAAATATATTATGTAAAATATATGCAAATAAACTATGTTAATATGTAAATAAACTCATTAAGATATCAGGTAGCAAGGAATTAAACAGGAGTAAGAGAAGTGGGAAGTTGTAGCTGTACCAAGAGGTGCAGATAAGTTCTCGCATTGGGTTGTCAGGCCCATTCACAAAAGGCATTAATGGTTCTTCATCATCATAGAGAAGATTTGGTTCAGTGACAAATCTAAAAAGAGAGTAACATGTAAGGTACATGATTCCAGACTGGAGCTCTACCATTCGACTGAAAAACAATTTCAAATATAGAGAATCCAGACACAATTTTTGAATGTGACAGGATGATTTATGAGATGTGTTAAAGCTATTTTTTTTTTCTGTTTACTAAATCTCTTTCCTTCTGCCTCTGGATAATATGCATTCCTTCCCAGAATATTTCTCCTGCTTGTTACTCATGCTCATTGGCTTGTGATCGTCAGGTTGTTCAGTAGTTTGGGCTTCTAGAGTTTGACAAAACAGTCCTGATGATTTCAAGAGTCCATAGTCCATATTTCAGAGCATACATTTCCAGGTTTTCCTATTACACTGAGAAAGAATAAGTTTTAAGAATTTTTGATTAGGAGATAAAGGGTGTCACACAGAGAGCTGGGGTTTGCTTCAGCTCCATGTGGTGAATGACCCAGGCAGGTCTGTGGGGTGAGGCCAAGGCTGAAGTCTGCATGGAAGTACTCGGTGAAGCAGTTTCAATTCTTTGTGTTATTAAAATGCTACTGAATGCTTTTAGATGAGCTAATAATCACCAGGCAAGAAGTATTTATGTTTTCATGATGTGCAACTCTTTCAAGTTGGCTGGAGCATTTATAATAAATTTCTAAATTGACTTCTTTCCTGTGTCTGTTCTGTTTTTACAGCTCAGTAAAATCAGAAACATTCCAATAGGACCTGTATTTCATTTTCAGTTGTTTTTTACGCTTGTCTTTAGCATGAAAGAAGTATATTTTATAGAGCTGTTTCTACCATAAGCCCCAGTAAACTTAGAAATGATTCAGATTTTTGGCATTTTTTCCTTGTTTATTGTTTAATCTGTAAATCGCAGAGCTTGTAACTAGTGTGATGCAGATGCCTCTAGCTATGACAGTTTGCTCATTTGTTAAAGACAGGTGCACAACATTACCAAAGACTGCCACATTTTTGTCTGTGCATTTTGAGAGTTACCTCTCCGAATATTGCAGTAAAAAAAAAAAAAAAAAAAAAAAGAAAATCTGCCTCATTTCCAGAAATCCCAAGCAGCTGCAAGAGGCAGTAGTTAAGTCCTGTGAGTTGAAGACACCGCGGTCCCTCCGCTCGCTCTTTTTGCTCCTGCAATTGGGAACTGCAGTCAGAAGACTCTCAGCACCACCAAGATTGCAGATCCGTGCTGTCCTGCCAGGAGCTTGGTCTGCATGTCTGGGTCATAGAGGCTCCTGGAAGGACCAAGGATTCATGTGTTTTCATGCACTTTGTAGACACTCCATCTTGCAGTCATTGACAGCACTTACTGTATTTGGTTAAAAATTGCTCCATACCACCCTTTTTTCTTTCAAGTAGTTCTTGATGTTTCCTTTTCTCTGACTTTTGTCCCTGTCCTATCTGTAATGCCATTCCCTTTGTTTTTTATTCACAGAGTGGTTTACAGACCTACTGCTTCCTGGTGTTCGCTGCCATCTGCTCGGCAGGAGCCACCTACCTGTTCTTTGTCCTGCCTGAAACCAAAAACAAGACACTTAATGAGATCAGCCAGGCATTTGCCAAAAAGAATAAAGTATCTTTAGAAATGCAAGAAATGAACCACTATCCAGCAGAAAGGAAATCAAGCGCAGAACAAGAATCAAACTTCACTTCTCCTATGGACAAGGTGGAAGCCAAGACTGGAATTGTGTAAAACGTGAATGTGTTTTGAGGAGGGGGAGAGAAGCATACTCCTCTAACCCAATATGTTTATGGCAGTGCACACCTTATATTTTAACATTACAGCATGAACTGCTTCCTCCTTGAGTATGTTGTGTGTTTAAAGTGAGTGTGAGTGAATTTGCTAGCAGCGAGGGTGATTCCAGAGGAAACACGAGGCTGGCATAGCAGCAGCCAGTTAATTAAATTGGAGCCAGCATTTTTCGGGATACCTGCAAGGTGGGTGCAGCAGTAAGTGACCTGGGAATCTGGACTCGGGGAAGGGAATGGGAGGTGAACTGCAAGCACACGTTGGCCGAGCACCTCAGTGCAGCAATGGTTGGGGGTGTGTGGTTGTCAAGGAGGAGGCAGCAGGAACCAGGGCTGCTAAAAATCAATCCAGACAAACCTGAAATAGTATCAGTTTGCCTTTTTCCATGTTTCCCAATAGCAATATGACTTGCACATTAGATTAGAGAGACTAGAGGACTTGAAAGACCACTGGTGACACTCCCATGCGTCCCATTCCTTTTCCAACTCTTCTGACTTTTTTTGTTGCTTTTCAGTTGCTTCAGCTGAACACCGCCCAGCTTCTTATAAATGGAAAATTCTCAAAGGTTTTCCTCATCTAGGTGTTAAGTAGGGTTGCCTGGATTGATGAGACTGCATTTCTGGTTTATTTTTGTAAGGCTAGTTACGGAAGCCTTGATGTGAAAAGAAAAACTAAACTTCATGGCGAAGAGCAAGAACTGTAGTAGTAGGTAACAGAGTGCATCATTCAAAAACAAAAAAACCCACCAAGTTTCCCAGCCTGTTGCAGCTGCTAAAACATTTCTGGGGCAGAGGGAAGGGAGAAAGGGTTTTTTTACCTTTTCTTCAAGCTCTTCTTGAAACACAAGATTTATGAGCCAAAATTTCCCTGTAACCCAATGAAATACCATTTTTAACACAAAGACCTTCAAATTAATTTGAAGATCTAATCTTCAATTAAGATTCCAATATTTGTTTAAGCACTTATTTTCCTGCGGGCATTAGATTGTGAAGCACTGTGTCTAATTTATTTTTCTTAGTTTCTAAGCTACTTAATGCATTGGAAAACTTTTTCAGTCTGCTTCATTTCATGGTAGAAAGATTTAGCAGACTGTCTGGGGTTATGTGGGCTGTCTGGGGTTACATGATCCATTTTCTTCCACTTGGGATTTCTTTAGGCAGATCATCCTTCTGGTTCATAACTGCAATAGTTTTTTCTTGACTCTTTTAAGTACCTGGATGCTGAGAACTCCAATAGGTACTTTTAAATCAAAAAAGCTATTACTTTAAGTGAAAAGTCAGTAAGTCTTGGAGTTGGTCTCTGTTAGAAGTGAGGTCTAATCAGCAAGTGCAGCCTTTATGGAGAGCCAACCGCTTCCATAAGGCATATGCAGAAATGCAGAAACCCATAAATTTGGGATGTTTTGAATATGTGTATATGTAAATATATATGTACACATATATACATCCCTATGTATGTGTGTGTGTACATATATGCGTGTGTGTATGCGTGTAGTGGAGAATAGCTTTCCAATACTTGTATTTTTTTCAGATTTTCCTGAATTTAAGATGTTTATTATTTTGTTTTACATTGTAAGTAAAAATCAGAGAATCTAATGTTCATCTATTACTGCTGAATGATATGTACAGTATACTGTGATTTATTTATTTGTGGCATATTTACTGCACATATTGTAAACTGACAATGTAGATTACCTAATAGAGCAATTTCACTATTGGATAACAGGAGAAAAATGGTCTGATCTTGTCAGACGGGAATTATGCTTTTTTTACTGGGGTAGGGGCACAGTAGTAAGAAAAATGAGTAGAAATATGAATAAGAGAATTAAGAATGAGGAATCAGATTTATAATATTGGTGCTATTAAGAAATTGAGTGAATCAGAATTATTCCAACTGATGATCATATTTAGAAGCAAATTAAATACTATAGAGAAAAAGGAAGCAAGATGTCTTCTAGTAACCACTTGTAGAATTATGCAGCAAAGGGAATGTCCTCTTTTGATTTCTTTAGTTGCCTATTCCAGATGTCCCTTGGGGTTTTGTGAAGCTTACCAAGTGGGGGACTATGTGAAAATCCACTTGAATGCCACCCCTTCACTCAGTTTTAGGAAAGAAGACTTTCCCTTCTGCCTTTAGGACATTTATCATGGGGCAAAACCTTACTCCAAGTGAGAAGCACCTTACTTTGCATTTAGTGCCGCTAACGGGATGTGATGTGATCCCACGTGAGTTAAGGGGCAAGGTTGAAATCAGTGATTATCATTACAATTAATAGAATTTAATACTTAGTGCTGTTCTTCAGTGCAGGTTATAGGCATGAGTTGTTGGTAATGTTGCCATTGGACAACTTCATGTCCAACACGGTAACAGCCGTGTTGGCCTGACGTGGCAGTCGTATTGAATTTCTACAAGATGAAATCATCTGAGAGTTATTCAAGCAGTTACATTTGGAGGCCAGATCTGAACAGTTTAGTAAAGGGACAGTTCAGTAGGGCCTCCCATCACAGCTGGTACAGTCAGAACCACAGGGCCTTGTGTTGTTCTCCTCTGCAACGCTGTCTGCCCATCTCTTGTCAGACCTGACATAGGTACATGCCACATACTCCCTTTCTGATCTGCTACGGGGACAGTCACTGCAGAACAAGTCCACCTGGGAAACCGTCACCTGCCTCTGCTGCAGTTTGCTCAAATGTGCAGTACAGAAGCAAAATAATTCCAGACTCCAGATATGTATTCATGTAGGTGCTTTGCTCACTGTCTGGGGAAGGCAACTGCAGTCTCTTCTGCCTTGGGTTTTGGGAGTTTCTGAGGAAATTTAAGATGGCAGGAATTGTACAACTTTCTCATCTCTAACCTTAATGAGTTTTGTGTTCTTAAAGTTGTCCAGCAATGTGTGTTTTTTTGGTTGTTCCTTTTTTTTCATTTCTTTTTTTCCCCACTGTTATGCTGCTATAGCTTCACCAGCAATGACAGGACAACATGGAAAATATCATTTATTATTTGGTTTCCTTGTCGTATATATCAGATCATCCGTAGCCCATGCGCTTAAAAGTGGGAATACTTCCTGTGGTGCCACATTCTGTTTTCCTTTCTGTGGCCAAGAATGAGATCTGGTTCAACTGTGGTTCTTTGTGCTGAGTACCGCAAGCGGGTAATGTGTTTGATTAGTTATGTCCATGCACAGTGATCACAAAATAAAACTTTGGAAGTAAATTAAAAAGGCGTAGAATCTGTTCTGCATAAATATGAATCTACACAACTGTACAAGTCTCACTGAACATTTTCCTGTCTTTTTATTTTGCTTTGTTTTTGTATGGCCCAGTACAAACCCTAAATCATTTCAAACTCTGTAGCAAGATAGCGGGCTGACTAGGAGTTCTTGGGAAGAAAATCATTTCTGAAACTCTACATTTGCTGATGCATTAGTTCAGTTATGTTCCTCAGCTCAGATTCCACCCTTTTTTCTTTCTTATATTCCATTTTAGAAATGAAAATCTAGATGCCAGTGCAAGGTAAATGATCAAAAATAGCTCATAGTAGCAATAAAGTAGTAATAAGTGTATATCAGAACTGTTGAATGTGGTTTGTAGAAAGTTGCCATTTGCCATTTTTATGTTGCTAAAGTTCTTCTTTCGGATGTGAAATTCAAACAAATGAATATTTTTGCTTCAAAGATATGCAAAACCTAACATCTAAAATATATATATATAAAAAAACGAATTTCATACTTCAGATCCTGAAGCCAATTTTCATTCCAAAAGATTCGGATTTTTAGTGGTAATAAATGCAAGTATTTCAGCATTATGGGACAATTTTCATCTTTAAAGTGAAAAGAAAAAAGAATTAAAAAAAACAAAGTAATCTCTTTGAAATTTCTTTTGTTTCCTTCCTTTGATTATTTTTATGTGCTTTTCCTTATAGAAATTGTCATAAAAAGCAATTACAGCTCCCATCACCTTGCACAGCAGAAAAAGACAAATCTGAGTAAAACATTCTTATGAGATGCTTGCCATCTTTATTTTTCAGTCTGGCTCCTAGAAACACACTTTGGATACAATCTAAAAATTCAAACTGTATCAATCCAAACTATGAAGTATGTTTGCTAAGAAATGTATTGAAAAGGTCCAGCTCTGGGTCCATGCTTAAATCTCTTTGCAGATGATAGTATGTCTAATTGAACCCTGTGCAGGTCCAAGCACTGGAGACATCTTCACAAGAGGTATGTTTCATGGCAAAGACTTAGAGCTTGGACTCAACCAGGTTACCACAGCGCACTAAGCAATCACACACAACCCGAGTAACCACAGGCCTCTTCCACCTAAGCTCAGCTGTGTTGCCTCACTTTTGCCATCATCTGAGAGAAAAAAAGGACGTAGATGGTCATGAATTTGTGACTTATGGCCTTCATGAGTTATGGCTCAGCTCGTTCTTGAGATGTTTCCATGAAATCTGTGCTCCAGTCAAACTCTTTTCAAAAGTGGCTCTCTCTTTTCAAAAAGAATATAAAAGAAAGTATCCAGGAGTCTCTTATACAGTGATTATTGAAGTCAGTAGAAGTCTCCTCTAGTGGCTTCATCTGCACTAAGTAAAAAATCCAGGGAAAAAAATTGTGTAACAGCTTTTGCATACAGGTAGTATGTAGTCCCCCCATCTTTTACTACCTGAAGTGGGAAGTCCTTTTTAGAGATAGGCAGGAAGAACAAACTTTGTGAATTATGAGCTCTCTCAAAATCATCTGCTGAGCTCTGAAGATTTACCTGGTTTTCTTTCTGTTTTCTCATTTAAGTAAGCTAAGATAATGCTATTTTCGCCTCTTGAAATGTGTTCCACCTTTTAAAATTCATTTTAGAAAGAAAGAAGGAAGGAAGGAAGGAAGGAAGGAAGGAAGGAAGGAAGGAAGGAAGGAAGGAAGGAAGGAAGGAAGGAAGGAAGGAAGGAAGGA